TTTTTGTGAGGCTCCTTTCAAGAAAAAAATTAAAGTATTCTCTTCAAACAAAATTATAAATGAAGTGTTTATTTTCTTTAAAAAATGCCCTTTTTTTAAAGGAAATTAATGAATTTGCGTCCTTACACGCCATTCGTTTCAAACGAGAAACATAATTTATTCTCGAGGGAAAGAAATCCATAGGACGTTGGCCCATTGACCGAGGTCCACTTTACATAGAGAGACATATGTTGTTGTTGACTAATGCTCACTTGTCTGACCCAAGGCCACGAAATACCTCGTGACAAGAAGCGCAAGATACCTCTGCCGTTGGCAACAGCCTTTACCACCTTACAGGTGACAGTGCGATTTAGCTCAGCTCCCCCCCCCGGGGAGAACACCCCGGGAGGGCGGGTCCGAGAATCTCCCATCACTCCTTCTCAACCACCAACCTCTCGAGAAGACTTTTTGCTAGCCGCATATTTTGAGTGCCCAAATGCCGAACGGACTCTATACAATTACAAACATCCATGCCTTCTCCGGGATTCGAACCCGGGAACGGCAGTCAGCGACGCTAACCACTATACCGGTTGGACGACAGAGAGATAGATACATAGTACATATATATATATATATATATATATTTATATGTAAAATATAAAATATCTATCTTTCAAATAATAAATTAATAATAGCCCTTTTACTCCCGTTTTCATTCTAAAAGTAAAAGAGCAATAGTTTTTTTAATTGAACTCACTGCAGTTCTGATGCGCACTTATCGATGAAACCGTAACTCAACATCTGGACATGTGATCTGAGTGGAATTTGGTATAAAATGGTAACTGAGTTGCAACTCCCTCTCCTTTGCTCAGATTCTGCTTTTCAATCCGCTCCGTCGCATTGCCGCTAGCCACGCATAGTTTACTCCCCCCCCATTTTTTTTTTATTGTTTAAGAAATGTAAGCTGTACAAAATTGGGGCCGCATAGCGCACCCACAGTGATGATGTGCATTATCAAGGAATAAATTATGTGTGGAATTTACCGCCAAGTCACCTTTCTAGTGTCATCTTTTTTACTATGCAAAGAAGTCTCTTCAAGCTATAATTCAGAAAGCCGTCGTCAATCCGCTACAACTCTGTTTCACCAAGTCATACTATTAAAGTAATGGCACAGTCTCATTGCATATGTACAGAATTTACTGATATTTAGATAAATAAATCGTACATAGGCTCCTAGACAGCTATATATGTAACTGACAGATAGACAGTCTAAAAATAGGAATACTTGCGTGTATATTAATGCAATATGAATACATAAAGGAAAAGAAAAATATAAAAACAAAGAATAGATGATAAAAAAAGAAAATTGAACATTATGTTAAATGAACATTGGTAAATTTGCAGGCAAAATTATCCTAAAAGTAACAGCTATTAGTATGAAATAAGATTTAGTATCTATCTAATGTTCATTAAAAAAACTCTCATTAATGAAAATGTTAACACCGTATGTTTGACCTATAAATATACGTTCAGAAATATCTTAATTATGAACACATATCAAAGTGATAAATAATAATATAGTTGTTTAGCTGGAAAAAAATTAATTACTTAATAACTTTAATATTTGTTTTGTAATAGCAATGTCAAGGAAGGAATTTCTGAGGGAATATACGTAGTAAGGAGAGAAAGTACAGATAGGCGTTAATATTTTCCTTTTCAGCCCACATTTTTCTTCCCTGTGATTAACGGAGCGAAAAGAACCGAAGTCCAAAACTTCCGCCAAAATCATCCTTTTAAATGGCCAAGAAAGCTTTAGGGATTAGAGCTGGGGATGTCATTTAGCCCATCAAAACTGCTCTGCCAGCAGTTCTTTCGAGTGCAGATGCCTTTAGTCGGTCATGATCGGATTTCAGATGCCATACAAACTCCTCGGTTGAGTAAGTGCCGAAATGAAGTCGATTTCGGGATGTTGAATTCGAAGAGCATTAGCGTAAACAGTAATGCGCAGGTAAATTGAATTAACTAACCTGTGGTTTGGAAAATACTAGTGTTTCAGATTTAATATGAAACTTTCTGAAAGACCGTAGTTATCCTCGCGTCATTCATTATCTCCATTTCCGACTGGAAAAGGGTTATTAGCGTTACCTACTTCAAAACGAAGCTATAATAAGTTCTTTAGGACTTTTTAGTCGTATGAAATATATCAAAATAATCTACGAATTTACTAAACATCTGTTAACATGAATCATGTGGGTTCAGTTAGAAAGAGCTATAAATATGTACAGAAAAGTAAAAGTTAAAACATAAGTAAGGCAATAAATTACAAATCCATAAACAAAACTAATTGGAAGCAAACATGACATCATTCACTTCATGCGCTTTCATTCTAATGGTGCGACGCATCGCTAATGTAGTTTTAAAAGGATGAAAATTATTTCCTTCGTGATTAATTATTGTTTCAATTAAATGTGAAATAATTGATGCAATTTGTTTTCTTAGATTTACAGCGAAGTGATTATGTTTTCTTTCTGCCGTATTTTTTCAACAAAATAAGTAATATAAAGATTAAAATTTTGAAATAAGATGAAACGAAATAAGTCATTATCCCTTTTTGCTCAGTTTTGTTTCTCTGAGCGTCGTTAAATGCATACTTATAAAACTGAAGCTTTCATATACTGTGTATATTCATTTATTCCCCTTGTTTTTATCAATTTTCCTCCTTGAAGATGGAGAGGAGAAAGATATGTGATGCATTAATAACATTTCTGAGAGTGTTTTAACTGCGATACATATCACATAAAAAAGAACAGATGAAAAGCGGTACAATTTAAGCTATATTATATTTTTCAAGGAATTAAATTAATGAATTTCAGTATAATTCATTATACTTACAAAAATGTGCATTCACATATTGTGTTCATACCACATATCGGAAGTTTCTAAATCCTGTGCTGAAAAGCTAGAATAAGAATATGAGAATACAAACATACCCATCCAACATAACATCGACCTACAGCTCATGCATATATGTAAGTATGGTATATTGAAATTTCTCAACTCATATACACAGATATGTATATTTATGAGAAATTTCAAACTCAGATGATTAAATTTGCGCAGTATGTTACGAACTGGTGAAGTTTCCCGACTTACAATAAGCTTTGTTCATCTGTATTTTTGAAATGAAATTCACTTACTTGACTTAACCATGTAATATTTGAAATAATTCGAAACGAAAAATTGAAGGTAATGCGTATTAGTTCATTATATATATTAAGAAAACTATTCAGCATTTTTTGATGTCTTAATTGAATAAAACCGAATTAATAAAATATTGCTGTTTCAGCTTTCATTTATACTGCTGTCAATTGTAAACGTATAAAATTCCTATCGTGAATAAACTCCATATATAATATAAAATCGTTTTGTCAATTTGTAGATTATATTATCATTATTTTTTACTAGCCAGTTATAATGTTGTATTACAGTTATAATTATATGTAATTAAACTGTCGGCTATAATGTATGTGTGTGTAAAATCATTTTTTTGTTTTATTTGTTCTATAACATCTTCACAATTACGTTAGTAATACTACTCTCTAAACACCAGACGCTCTTTAAACTAAAAGAGAGAGCCTACCGTCAGATTTTATAAGTAAAAAATCTGATGAGGACACCACGTGACTTCCTTAAACGGTCCATTTAATTATACGCAATTTTGACTGCATTTCATTTAAACTTATTTCTTCGAGTTTCATTACAGATATATTTCACATTCAATCAATTCAATTATCCTTTCGCGGCAATTCAAAAATACTTTGAACTTTATTAGAAATTTTAAAATACAGGAAAACATAAAGCATCAAATGCATTTTAAAAACATTTTTTGCAACTAAAAGTAGAGCTTCTACACAAAAACAGACAATTCGGCCAGCGGGCAGGTAAGCGGATTTTGCAGTGCACAAAACTGAAAGTTTACTTTTGGTACCACTCGGCAAAATAACACTGAAGTTGGTACAGAAACTGACTTAATTCACTATTCTACTGAGAGTTTCAAATGTAAACAAACAGCGGCTTCGTTAGGCTTAGTAGTACTTAAACAACTTTTAAATTGCTGATAATTCAATTTACAAACATATAAGAATTTTAAAAAAAACTGAGCTCTCCGAATTTTTGAGGTATGGGAGATACGTAAGTACAGACATCACGAAAAAATCTCTTCTGAATCCAATTTAAATCCATTTTACAATCCGTTTTGGGGAAACAATATCCTTTATTCTGTCCGTACAAATATATATCACGCAAAAATATCGCTCAGATGGATTCGAGAGCGGTCAAAATGGATGTTTTTTTAAATATGCTACCCGAAATTTTTCGCGATTACTATACTTTCTTTACTTCATATAATGAAGTAAAAAAAACGTCATGTTCATTGTATTGGAATTGGATTGCCGAAGCTCATTATAACTATAATTATCAGATGATATATCGCGGTACGATAATAATGTTCTGATACTCTTGGAGTTTCTCGCAAGTTCTTAATGAAGATATTATTACCCATCTCTAAACGTTTAACAGAAAAACTGACATTTTTTTTTTCATCTGGGAGGGAAGGCATCGGTATGGAAGTAAACTCAGAAAAGATTACCTGAAAAGACTTTATTTAGTCCCTTTTATCATGACAGTCGCTTAGTCTTCAATACAGAATATTTGTCGTTCCAACATTTCCTTTTGAATTCAATTTCATTTTGCCCCGTAGACTAAAGAAATAAATTCAAAAGATATCCTGAATTTTTGTGTAGCATTTTTAGATTATTAGGGCAGTTAAAAAATATTGACCTAAGCACACAAATGGGGCAAATAAACAATGGGCACTTTAATTTATAATTATCTAACTGCATGTCCATGAAAATTTAATAACCGAAATCATTGTATTCATTTTTGCTGTTTTCTGTACTAGTATGATTTCGTAAATCTATGTACGTGCCTTAAAAACGAATAATTCAATATTCTTTTTCCAGTTCCACCGGGTGCTCCCATCATAAAAGACTATAATGGAAAAGTATTAAGTGCTGTTATTGGACCTTATAATGAAGGCGATAGTTTGCACCTAATTTGTCAGGCAGAAGGGGGTAAGTAATCATTTATATATATGTATAATAATCCAACTGTAATAAATATATTGTATACTGCTTATGGCCACTTTAATTTATAATTATCTAACTTTTAAGTTATGCTGGATAAATACATACATACATACGTACAGATATCATCAAAAATCTCTTTGAAGTCGATTTAAAATCCATTCTACAATTCATTTTGGAAAAAGAATCCTTAGTTGAGTCCGTATACAGTTCGAGTACCTCGTTGTGTGTGGTGTATATGATTACTGTTATTGTTTCCAAAAAAATTATTTATCAAATAAATAAGCATATTTAGTAAAAGCCCTCTCTAAAACGAGCACCTGTGTTTCCAGGTTACTCTGATGGTGTTAAAGAGATCATATTTTCATTCTATTAATTGTTATTGTTTACAAGAAGTCTATTAACGTCAGATAGAAAATTAGCATAGACCCATATAAACCAACAGAAGATTTATTTTTTTATTGATACCAGTAAGAAAACCAGTAAAAGTCAATATAAACCAATACAAACCAGTAGAATGTTTTGACTTGATATTGTTTGTATGGGTGTCAATTTATACCAGTAAGAAAAACCCACAGAGATCAATAGGAACCAGTAAAAGTCAAATTGTATAGGTACCAGTAGAACGCTTTCCTGGTTTCTATGGGACATTTTGAAACCAGTAAGAAAAACCCACAGAGACCAGTAAAAGTCAATAGAAACCCATAAAAGTTTTGGGTACCCATAAAAAGTTTTACTGGTTTCTATGGGGCAGTTTTAGCAGGGTATGTAGAGACGTCACGCAAAGAAATCATTCAGTTTGATTCCAGAGCTGTCGTTGAAATAAGATACCCGAAATTTCTCACTATTACGATACTTCCTTTATTTTGTACAAGAAAGTAAAAACCCAGATAAGCGTAGATTAAATTGAGTTACTTAAGCCACCCAGATGGTATAGTGGTTAGGGAAGCCGGCTACTATACCAAAAGGCCCGGATTTTAATCCCGGAGAATGCATGGTTGTAACTGTCCGTCCTTTTTAAAGGAGGCAAACGGGGCCCACCTAGTAGGCGCGTCCGTAATAAAGTGATCAACACTTCTGGCCTTAGTAGTAGCCAAACCGAAGTCAGCTGAGGGTCCGTTATTGACAAAAAATATTGAGTTACGTAAATTAAAACTATATCTCCCAAAATGTTCGTGGATGATATTCGATAAATTCTGCGAGAAGTGAGATTATCAATTTGCGAAAATCTGGATGCAAGATTTAAAGAAAAAATAAAGGTTAGAAAAGTACATGATTTTCAATGGCATGATAATATGTTTTATTGTCAAAATATATTTAACTATTTTTCAAACGATATTATTGTTGCTAATGCAGTTTTAAACAATTTTATAATTTTTCAGCATAAATTCCTTTGAACAATGAATCAGAATGAATTAAACTATGTAAAAGTTTTAGTCTTAAATATTAGAATACCGTCTTTTTTTAACAAAATTAAAGCGAGATTCACCTGCTATAATGTTTCCTCTAGGATATACAATAAAGTCATTAAAGCTTTGCTTATTTTAAATATGCGCAATATTAAAAATATCTTTTTAATTTACTTACGCAAATTCGTAAAGTGAAAAAAAAAATTGAAAACAACGGCATACAAATTTTAAATATATTATTCATTCATTTTTTAAAAAAACGTTTTTATTTACTTTAGTAAACTATATTTTTCCTAAGGGCTTAAAATATATGAACTTTAGTTAATAAATGTGAAAGTAAAATTAATTAGCAAGTTAATGCTGTATAGATAAAAATTAATTCAGTCAGTATGAGAAAAAATCCGATTTCTGAAATTTAACGTTTACTGTCTAAGACAAAGTTTGCAGATAATAGCCTATCAAGCTTAAAAAAAATAATTTTTACTATAACATAACTAGTAAACCTATTTTCCATCACACGACTTCATATTTCAACAAAGCTCTCAATCATTGGTAAATAATACTCTACCTTATTTGAAATTTGGCTTTCAGTAGTTTTGAAACAGTTAATCGTTCCTTTGCCAATTCTTTTCATAAAGCTTAATATGTTTCACAAATGATTTGTAATATGTTTTCAATGGAATCAAACCACAGAATATTAATTGTTGATATTTTTAGCGAGTACATAAATGTGCATATATATGTAAGCTGTAAAATACGAAAGACTATTACTAACTTTAATTTGGCCCCGTCTCCTCCATGGAATTTAAACTGCGTCATATCTGAAAGCTCATCGGCATTATATCATCTATAATTTTGCAATGCGGTAAGCTCTTCTCCAGTCGCAGTCCAAACTTTAAACAAAGGATCCAATTTTATAAATACCCCAGTAGCTGAATTATTCACCTGCTTTTTCTACTCTCTGTAGGTCTGAGTGTCTCCTTGCTTCTTTGCACTCTCTATTGTCTTGAAAGTTGATGATTTGTATATAGAAATATAGGGTGCTTTTGCACTCATAGTGATGTGTAAAAGAGAATACGTGTCCTGAAACTTATTCATCAAGTATTAGAATTATGTCGTGAGTGTACAACTATTTTTGGTGTCCACATTCAACCCATTGGTTACGCATCGTATATGTATGCTGGTAACATCTATAACCATATCGGTCAGACTAAATATAATTAGTGTCTCCTCTCCTACGCACACTAAAATGTTGCTATCTTCAAATCATCATTATCTACAAAATTATCTCATACACGTCTTACCCATTTTATATTACATACACAAATATTCCTCAGTATGAAACTGCTCTTGTCCGTATACGGATCGATGGCAAAAATGAGTCCCTTTGCTTTTGGAGACTTTTTGAAGCAGTTGTTGAAATACCTGCTTTAAAAAATATTTCAAAACTTTCTTAACTGTTTGTAAATTTTGTAAATGTTGCCAGAAAAAGAATATTTCGTTTGGTTTATTTGATTATGACAACGTACTCGAGGTCTATCAGCCTAAGACCTTCATAAAAGACTTACTAAGAAACATTCGCTGTCATCTAATTCTAAGTTACATATGTGTAAAGCTACGAAAACGCCGTACAGCCAGAAATCGAACGTAGGTTGAATTACCAGGTTCGTCTGGAATCGAACCTAGATCGACCAATCTATATTGAGAGACTTTATCTATCTTTCTGTCGCCGGTGGGCACTCGGAAAAAATTACTATATCAGAACTTATGTAAAAATGTACTCTTTATTTTATATAAAATACCTATTTCATGTACCTGTAAATATAATTTCATTCTAATTATGTTTTCAAAATTTAGTCGTGATATCGGCAAAATATTTACGAATATCACATTTTATTGAGACCTTGCTCGTGAGAAATTTCATACCAACTTTCGTGGAAAAAAAACTCATAGTACGTATTTCTGGGACAATGCTGTTATGGTTTTCTGAGCTTCTATTTTCCCTTACATATGCTGGAAGACACTAAAAGTATACAAAATGCATCCCACATTTTGCTACCCTATTTTCTTTGACGCAAATACCATTCCTCGTGTGATTTTAGTTTCCGTAGTACAGATAAAAATATCTTCCATATAGAGACTTAGCCGCATTTGTATCTGCCGCCCAAATATCTTAACTATTGATCGTGATCAGTTTGCAGATATGGGATTTCGGTTTTAGTATGTCACCAAATCTAAGATACTTACGATACTAGAATACTAATGTCTGCACTGAAACAGTCATGGAATTTCAGAAATGCTCTTTAAGTGACACATGTATATAAGAATTATTATAGAGTTGATAGTATAACATTTCTTGTGTTTATATCAGTTAAGTTTTAAAATTTGTAAAAGCAAAGTTTCCAGTTCCTTCACAAATCTTTGTCTAAGTTTCGTATAAAATCAACTATGGCTTTAAATGCATTTTGGAATAACAAGTTGTATCCGTTTAATTAAAACATACACATGCAAAATTGTTCTTTTGGTCCATCATATAACATAAACCCGAAAAGCCAGAGCAAGTAGTTTTAGCCCAAAGGACAATTTTCCAAGAAGGGTTATTAATTTTGTTTTGCAATTTTGCATTGGTTCATTATAAACGCCGTTTCACATTTCAAACTGCTGCCACCGAATGTTAGAGCCGTGCATTATATTTAAAGAAATTAATTAAATAATGGAGAATCTGCATGAATGTCTCAATGTTTTTCTCCCTAGGCAAAAACAACGACACCCATTTGGAAGTCCAAATTTGAAATCAGGAATTTGTTTTATTATCTATTTCATATTTTGTGACGTTAATGAATTTTTGATTAACAAACTCGACGATTTCGAAGCGAGCAATGGCAACACTGTACGAAAAAAAAAACATTTTTATCTCGAGCGCACAAGACTGTGTATCGGAAATTCTAAAGGTATGCTCCTTTAAATATTCTGTGATACTGCTATTGAATTGAATTTTATGGTTTAAGTGGGAAGAACTTGATATATAATAAATAAAGGTAACATATCAAAACGTTAAAAAATGCCCATTGGGGGTAATACAAAATCTGAAAGAGTTCAGATTTTTTTTTTCAAATTTTATATTAAGGTATTTTAATGTTTTTACCTGCTTACGAAAGCTTTTCGGTTTAGTAGAAATTGTAACTTTTAATTAATGCTAAGATTTACTTATACGGCTTTCTTTCAATCTAATATGAGAATTGCTGCAATCCAAATGAAACAGCTTTATACTGATAGTTACCTCGTGAAATGATAGCTGTGTTGTGTAAGGTTGTTTAGTGAAAATGCCAAATATTTACATAATATAACAACACGTTTCTTCCATAGTACATTTTAGAAATTTTCTTTATGTATTTTTTAAGTAAACGGCAACAAATTTGAAAGGCAAAAGTATGTAACAAATTATTTCATAACAGTCGAATACTGCCTATGCATAATAAAATCATACATTGCATTTCTTCACCTCTTTTAAAAAATAATGCTTACCTCCAAAAACAGTCCCGTAATTAACAAAATACTTATGAGGAAAGGCGCATTTCG